TTTGCCAATTACTTAACCACTCTCGTATCTCTACTCTCGTCCGAGACTTGATCCGAGACTGCTTTCAGCAATGTTTAAGGGACCCTTAATTACCCTTTCTCCCTACATTGGGTCCACAAAGGATTTTCAACTTATCTAATGCACTCTCAATTAATAAACAAATTGATTTGTGAAGACATAAACCGCTGTCGGATGCACTCTCGGACGAGAGTCTTTACTAGAGTTTGGCGCCCTAACCTCCGAAAATCCGAGAGTCGAATGAGTGTCCATTCCGAGAGTCGGAGCTACTCTCGGATAGGTCTCGGACTCATCCGCCAGGGAGCTTCTCTACCATCGCGCAATGCTCGGGGGATATTTAACCTTTCAAAATCGTTTGCAACAACACTAACGAAAATACCCCATCCTTTTGGTAGTTATTTAAGTAAGTTTTAGAACTGCAGGCTCATTGCTACTTAAAACTATACAAAATTACTTAAATTCCATGTCAAACTCGAAATTTTATGAGCATTTTTCTCCTACATCAATTTTAAGCGTATTGTAGTAGGGTTCATTTCTTTGTTTGTAAATGTTCGATCAATCATACTTCTCCCACAAAAAAAAACCAATTTGTCAATGATAATTTTCAATTAATAAATCTAAAAATTTAATTCATGGATTAATTTAAGAATCTAGCCATATAACGTTGAATGGCAATAGTTCATAAAGCTTTAAATTTCCCTCGGCTAGTATCAAATCCCGAAGTTTACTTCTCCTTAACGGCAAAAAAATACTGATTTAATCTGTAAAATTTCACGTATTTATAAAATCATTCATTTTTTTCTATTCAGGCAGAAAATCAGTTTCTATATTTTTATGACAAAACGGGAGGCGTGAGAATACTAGCTGAGTTGTAAAAAATAAAAAAATAAAAAAACAGTAAGAAAAATCGTTGTACATTTTCTTTCTACAAAATCCTTGATTAAGGAGATAGCAATAAAATAATCAAGAAGATGTAGGAAAACAACTCGTTTCGCTACTTCACTGCTCAATAAAAACCATGGAAATTACTAAACATCTCTAGATTAACGAAGATGCTAGAAATCTCATTATGAATTTACCTGCATGCGCTCAACAGCCTCTGCATTTTGGATGACGCAAGTAGTCGCGTCTCGGATGGACAGCCAAGCCTTGCTCGTTTGACTCTGGGTGCACCAGGACCAGTTGCCACAAGCTCTAATAATTCTGGGACAGTTGCACTTGGCAATGGTCTCTCAGGTAGAAGGGGCACAGCGCAGCCAAGCACGATGGGGCCTCTTGTCGCACACTCAAGTTGCATCAGTCCCGTGTAATCTCTCGGCAGAGGTATCGGCAGGGGTCCAGCGACTAGCCGTACCTGCAAATAAACAACAATTTCTTCTTTTACCTTATTTACCCTGAAACATCAGATCATGGTCTGAAATATAGATGTAATACTTTTAAAGTTTCTTGCCTTTATTTTTCATCACCTAGTACTTCGCAATGCAAAGTTGCAAAACTTTTATCGTTGTAAAAACGAATTTATCGGCTATACCAGAACATTTAATGGTAATTATAGGACTGATTCATGTTAGTGAAAGGTATTACTAACTAGAGAATATTTATATTTAGGAATTGCGTGGTTATTGGAGAATAAATAATATCAACTCACTCGTAATGGTAAATCTCTTCTGGCAAGTTGATGTACTCTGTAGAGGACTGCATCGCTACCTGTGTCGAGACTACCACTCTGACAGGTAGCATAGAACTCACCGCGTGATGATAGCGGTGCAAAGAGTTCATGACCCTGGGAATCCAGACACTGAGCGTACTGATCACGTTCCGATGACCTTGAATTTTTTTTCTCTGAGGCACCCGTTGTTACGGCAGTAACACCGGTTGAGACTGGTGACTTTCGTGTGTCCTGGAAGACAGCTGCTAATCGAAGTACTTCACCAGCTCGAATAGTCGTTTTTGTGTAGTGGGCTCTTAGATTTCCGTTTTCTGTTGGACAAAAATTTGACATTTTCAAAATTGGGGGATTTCAATTATTAATAATTCTATGACTTATCTTAACTGAGATGTTACTGATTAGTAGGAACTTTCGATTTTTGGGATGGACGACTTAGATTTCTAGGTCAGTAAAGCGATTCCGATCAATTGTAATTTAGTTCGAGTGTGTCCGGAATATCTCGAAATTGACAGAGGTTCGAGGGGATATCCACGTTTGCATTGAGCAACAGAGTGATTACACAATATCGAATCCACGTAGTGACGGTAGGGGTGCGAGATGTGGCTATGTATTGTTAAGTGTACTACTTGAGGTTCATTTTTGGCGAGTAATTTTTTGTCCAGAGCTATGGTTCACCCATTGGGCTATATGATAATGGTATTATTATTTCTTTTAAAGATCGGCCGGGCGTGCTACGCTCGTGCCTTCTCATCTCTTCACGTAGGGGCGCTTCGGTTTCAGTCTTACGCTTAAGCTTATTCGAGATTTTCGAGTTATAACCGAAATCGATTCCCTTTCTCCTTTTTACGATAAGATACATTGCTGACAAAAGTCGAAATGGTCAACTGAGACTCAAGGGCCGAAATGAGTGGAATCATCACAAGGATCGAAGGAAATCCGACCTCGGTCATACGTCGCAAGAGTCATACCATGTGTTAGTCTGTTTAGTAATTAAGCTTTATTGAATTTCCCGCATGTAGAACCCTTGTGACGTTTGACCGTCTTGAATTCCACCCTTTACGCGGTATGATCCTGTAGAGGCATGACCCATGGAGGTATGATCCTCGTAACATACGACCCTTACAAAGTTTGACCCTTATGAGGTTTGACCCTCGTAATGTTTGAATGTCCCAAAATATAATCCTCGTGACATTTGACTCTCACGACGTATGGCGCTTGCAGTGTGTGACCCTCGTGATGATTAAAATGGGTGGTAATTGCCGGGAAAATTTTGAACGCTGGGTTATTTAAAGTTATAGTAGCACCACCTACTGGGGCTCTCGCTCCTCAACTATCTGATGACCCTGGGGGACGGCCCTAATTACAATGGTTATAGTAATGACTAATCCTAAAAAATATGATGACATGATTGCAAATATGCCGATGTCATTGATTACAGCGGTAGCGCTTACCAAATTTTTGCAATCATTCAAATCATGAAGCAAAGGGTTCTTCGTTCAACTTTTCGACTAAGACCTTATGTTTGCACATTTAGACTTGATTCTTTGGCTTGACCTTTACAATTGGTTTCCTTTGTGCTGTAATTATGGGGGTTTTCTACTCGTGTCGTTGACCAGTCATCGCCTTCTGCTCAGACGCCAAATCCACTCGTCTTTAAATATATTATGATAGACTCTCAGATATCGAAAATGAACCTTTTTTTGACGTTCCGCCGGCCCTTTTTCAGTAGTAATACCCTGAGAGCATCAAAATGATCAGGTATTTTCCGATAGCTTCATTGCAAACAAATGAATGAATAATAATGAAGAATGCATATGTATATCGTATATCAGCACGATAGGTGTTTATTATATTGTCCTTAATGATAAAGAGGATGTGATGAGTGTGAGGCCATTACAATTAACGATGCCGTCCTTTTACAGCATCATTTCTCGGAAGATTTTGATTCATCTATCTCGTTTACACATGAATTAATATGGAAATAGCATGTGAAAGAGAAGTGACTATAATTTTTGCAAATGATAAATATTTCCAGCTACATAAATCGTGTGGTAATTTTTTTCATGCACTTGTATGTATAGATGTATGTTCACCTAACTTAGAAAATTGTGGAGTGGAAGCGTACAAACCTGCATAACCTTGTTAATTAAAGTGAGACACTTCTTATATACGTGCGGGATTTTCCATTCCAAACATGAGAGATCCAGAAAAACGTGAGAATTATCGGTACTTTAGAGGCTGGATATGTATACGGAGTTGGCCGAGTAGTCCATATTGTTTGCGCAAAACATAATTGTGAGCAGACTGGGCGTCAACGATTATTATGTCTTATGACGAGCCAAGTAACAATTATCCATATCAGCTCAGTGAGAGGCTGTGTTATTTCCCCCAATTTTTCCACTCAAACTAGTTCCTAATGAGCGGAAAAAGTTACATGGAAGTACAGCACATGGAAGTTCGAAGAGAGGTTATCTAAGTTATGATTGTTAGAATCCAATTTGTATAAAGTATTCTCCACTTTTTTATGCTCCATCCAGTACGTACCATACATTGGGGAGAAGGTATACTAATTTTCGAGATATTTTTCTCTCCGTGTATTGCAATCATCAGTCAGCAATTCGTCTTGAAATAGTTATACCAAGGTTCTCCATAAATACAACCTACAATTACAATTGTACACTGTTGAATAACGTGTAATGCTAGGTATAACGCTAATAATTAGCTAACAGTTGAAAAACTACCCGTACGGAAAACGGAATATATGTGAAATATATGTCAATTATACGCACATATATTTCGGCGGAAAATGGAATATGTCACATATGGGACATTCCATGTCAACTCAGCCACCCTGGATTTTTTTGGTTCTCAGAATCCTGAATTAGCATGCTCCCAGTCAAGTACTACATGAGTACATACTTTCTCTCAATTTTCGCTCCTTTAACATTAATTGTTTGGCCACGACAAATAACAAAAGCTCAAATTTTTGAAAAATCATATCTTGCGAACAAATTGGCCGATTTTAATAAATAAAAAAAGATGTTTTTCGTTTTTTTATATACTTTGAGACTAAAAATACAATAGTACCACGAGGATGAATACTAAGCCATTTTTTAAGTTTTTCGTTATTTTAATCCCTCTGTTTCGCAGGGGCCATTCGAAAATCGAATAATTTTTTTTTCTCCGATGGGTGATGATATTACTCAACTTTTCCAGGGTATTTCAAAATGAAATAGCCATATGGAGATGAGAAAAAGAAAAAAATTTCATGGAAAATTCGATTTTCCGATCATACATAGGACATTCCATGTCAATTCAGCTACCCTGCATTTTTTTGTATTTCGGAATAGAACATTGGCATGTTTAAAGTCAACTACGATATGAGTCTAACATTGTTTCAAACTTTTACCCCCATAACTTCACTCTTGTACCTGGCAGACATGCCCAATATCTTTCGCAATAGCGTTAATTGCACGAATTCACATGATTTTTCACTTATCGTGATGATTATTTTTCCACGTACGGATTTTGGACAGTCAGGGCCAATCAGAATGCAGCATTTGATGACAAATGACAAGCTGGAGGAAGTTTTATTTCGGATATTTCGCACTAACATATATATTTTTTCGGTTATTTCGTACTCACATATATATTTTTCCGGATATTTCGTATTAACTCTTCAATTGTTCTCGGATGTCATTTTGAGGTTGCGTAAACGACACTCCTGCAAAACTTGACACTTTTGATTGTTTACAACAAAGTAATCGAGAAATACCCGATAATTTTGAAGTACACGGGGTATTACTACTGAATAAAAATTGAAAGCCAACGATAGCTCGGTCGGTAGGGCGAGCGATTTCTAATCCGATGATTCGGGTTCGAAACCCAATGGGTGTTGATCGGGTTTCGAACTCCGAGAAATCAAATGTTGTCCGCATTTCTTTGGGAAATGACCTTGGGATTTTTGAACACAAACATTGGACAATGGATACAAGAAATGGGAGCGCAATGAAATCAAAGGTTCCGAGTGGGGGTGAGAATAAACAACCGATTTCTCGGAATCCAGTTTCCATACGAGCCATAGAGTTGCCTCAATAATAACCATTTGATTAGTCCTCATCACACACTTGAGTGTTGAATATTTCACACGGTTCATTACAGTATCGTTAACAGAAATTCTCCGACGGTTATTCTCCTGTATTTATTCTCCATCAACTTTAATCAAGGTAAGTAATGGTATAAAATATTTCAGTAGTGAAGTTGTGAACTCAATCGATCGTTATTATTATTTTTTTCCCTTTTTTTGAATGATCAGAACTATTCTTCATTCCTATTCCACAAGATGCCGCATGCCGAAAGATGTGCAAATCCAATGCGAGTTCCTGGGGAGAAAGGTCACAATGGAAAAGACCTGCATTCAATCTCAGAAAGACTACGACAGATATTTCCATTCTTGCCAGAAAATGCAAAACTATGTAGCTCCTGTAGGAAAAGAGCTTTGACTTACATTCCTGGATCACTACCCTCCCAATCTTCATCGAATTGGGAAGTCTCTTCATCGTCATCAAATGTTCCAGCCGATCGTTCGTCCAGTGTCACATCATTTCTAGTAGACATTTCTACGAGCAATATCGCAGGGAGTTCTTTGAGATCAGGTAATTCCTTCCATTCAATTGATCCTGATGGGGATGTGATTTTCAACGAAGCTTCAGAGGAGTACGATGCTCCAACAGCAGATGATGATTCAGAGATAGAGCACCACAGGAACATTCCAGGAAATTTTCGTTCTCCACGAGAATTGGAATTGGAAGAAATGTTAGATGGACTCAAGCAAAAATTCAATACGATGACAGAATATTCTGAACGTATTCAACTCTTGACTATTGCTCCACCTTCATGGAGTGAGCGAAAGGTGA